GGGAGGACACCCAAGGTCCCAGCAGATGCCAAAACGCACGTTCACAACACACACACCTCATCGCTATGGTCAGGTGTGGACTCGGATGGAAATCCAGGGAAAATGGATTTAACCCTCCCAAATGAACCAAATTACCACTGCTTGCATGAACTCGCCCCAAATCCATCCAATTCCCATCCAGTGGGGTTCAGGAACTCGGTGTGTTTGAGCCTGACAAGCTCAGTGTTTTGGTAGCACTATGGATGTGCTACTTTCTTTCCAAACCACGCTTGGAACCGCTAGACTCTACCAAAGCCCCATGCATATTGCCCAATCCTATATTCTTAGCAAAACACAAACCACAGAAAGATTCTAGTAACTCATGCAGACCTGTGTTTCCTAAAGGGAACAAGTGGCTACAGGCATGGGTAAAAACCTTTAGAAATGTATTTAGAAATAACCATATGTAAAATACATACGGTTAAAAAAAAAAAAAGTATTATTCTGAAGGAATATGAGTGCTGTTTATTGACTGTAATAGAAGCACTAATAAGTTGATGGATGTTTTCATAATACTTCATAACTGTTGACCACCACATGAAAAACAAATTTAAAAAGCCTTTGGTCTTTGAGCCCCACCAAAGTTAAGGCCTTTGACGATATTAATTCAGTTAATGGCCTCCTTTAATGGCCCAATTCTCTAATTGGTACCTGGTTGTTACTTCACTTCAGAGTGAAGAAACCTGCTTGGATCGCATGGAGAAAACAACCTGAAGGCCACGCAGCGCGGCAGAGTAACTGTCAGTACCCATCCTCACCAGTGGGACGAGCCAGAAACCAGGGCAGAGACTCTACAAAACACTCGTAACTCTTCTAAAATCCCCGTGGAAAATTGCGTGCAGGTTTCGGTTCAGATTTTCCAAGCTCTTGGCTGCCTTGGGATAGGAGCAGCCTCACGTTAATGACAGTGTAACAGCGGGCAAGACCTGCTGTGCCCCAGGCTAAAAAGGGGTAGACTGGGCACCTAGGAAAGATACAGATGTTAAAAAACAGAGGAAAAGCAAATAGAAAAGAAGCAAATCAGGAGCAAAGACTTGTGCACTGGCTGTTACCAAGAAGAAAAAAAAAGAGCAGCAATCCCTTCCTCTAGGTGCAAAGGGAACCAGAGTTAAAAAAAAAAACAGGTGAGCTACAGTAATACCACAGCACTAAGAGCCTAAAAGAGGCTCTTAATAGACATATGCTCTTACATGCTCTCTATGCTCTCTTAGCATATAGCTAAGTTAATCATTAAGAGAAAAAGTGAAACAGAAAAATGAAGAAGGGATCTGTGCAAAAGCCCTATTGCACTGACTCTTGCAGCGCAACCTATGGAAGAAAACTGGAAACATTTTTCTTCCATTACAACCTTTTTTTTTTTTGTCCTTGTTAAACAAGGACAACTATGACTGACAATTCTGCAGACCCTGAAAACAGAGCATGAGCTGCTTACAGAAACCAGCTAAAATAGGCCCTTTCATCATGGTTGAAATTGTTAATGCTTTATCAGTTTCCTATGTTTGTTTTTGAAGCTTCCTTGTTTTCTGCAACAGAGTAAATGACATTGCAGTGGAATTTCACACCAGTCAGCGCCTTTCCAAATATGTATTTTGAAAGCAGTTTCAGCAAATCACGCATTAGTAAGAGGCCTTCATACCCAGCCAGAAGTACTTTCAAACTGCTGGGCAAACTTTTGACTGTAGGAGCCGTGCTGTTTGCAGTTGACTGGAGCACCTTTCTACAGGATTTCACTACAAAAATATTTGCAGAGCCTCATTAGATAGATGATTTATGCATCAGTCTCCATGAGCACAGAAACTAACAGTTACTGGACATTTTGCCCAGAGGTTAATGAAGACACCATTACTATTTTGAGAAACAATCACCTTTTTTTTTTCTTTCTTTTCTTCCCTTGAGCTCTGCATAGATTAATTAATTGGTTTTGCTCACTAAAGCAATGCCAGGCTCCCAACAGCTCCCTGTGGATGCCAGATATTGCCCATCTCCTGCAGCAGCTGCTTGGACAAGCACAAGACATATTCTGGACTCCACAGCATATCTTAAACTGATTTTACTAGTCAGTACCTGGTGCAGGTCCTGAAATACGACTACTCAGCACCTCACCTTTAAAATTGAACCAGTTTTTCTTCAAGCAACCATTTATCAGCAGTGTTAGAGAGAGTTAGGCTATTTTCTGAGCAAACGGCACACCATTTGCAGAGCCTGATTCAATGAAGCAAGGCTCCAAACAAGAAAGATTCCAATTTCCAAAATGTCTGAGGATGAACAAAAATGCACACAATTCACAGAAACACAGTTTTCTACAAAACCTCAGTGCAATGAAACCTGGGATAGAATGTTAAAACTTGAACTTGTTAAAACTGCAATGAGGTCTAAATCACAGCCTGTTATTTATTAGCCAAATTTAAAGTATATGTCTTTACTCAAATATGCAAAAGGCATTGAAATTTATGGTCACTGCTTTCATGATAAAATTATAATAAAGATTCGTAGCTTAGCTCACTCATATGCTCACTGAAAATATTTACAGCTAATTAAAAAAAAAAAACTCCATACAAACGCAAAATTACTCTTTTCTGCAAACAAGTTCCAAATTAAAGCATTTATCTATCGACTTTATCTGCGTATCGGCTCATATACCAAAAACCTACCAAAATGGCACACAGGCACAGTCATTTAATAGTGCAGATACTCACATTAACCAGTTAGCCAAAGCGAACCACTGTTCCTTAGTCACCTCTCCCTTGAATGCCGCTGGAGATGTGGTCAAACTTGACAAAACATTCAAGTAACACCAGTGCAGCCGAGTAGCCCATAACAAGTCTTTCTAGTTCATTTTCCTGCTGCTGATTGATTCAGAGGGTGCAGGAAACACCACCCCTGGAGTCTGCCTTCCCACTCAGGGAGCTCCGTGCGGTCCAGGCACTTGCCTCCGTGCCTCCAACGCCCAGATCCGCTCCTGCTCACCCTATGGAGTTCTCTCCCAGAGCAGGACAGAAAACCCTACATGGATCCATAGCCCTGTCCATGATGAGCTGCTAGGGATTTTGGAGGCACTGGCACACACAGCTGCGTGCTACAGCGTTGGCCTCAAGGGTTTGCAGAGGCAACAAGTCCAGACAGTCTCTGCAAAACGTTGTCCAATTTACTGTGGAATTAAATACTTGCAATTCATTATAGCGTCTTTCTGTGAAAAGGGAACAAGCAGCCTCTATTCCGAAAGAAATCCTGTTTGCATAACAATCCTGAAACCAAAACTTCAACTTGCATTAACACATCTCCAGCACAAACATTTAGATTCCAGACTAACCTGTCAGTCTATCAACACTTTTTAAGAGACAACTGAAAGGGAAAAGGGGGGAAAAAAATAGGAGGTGAGGGAGAAAGGAAGAAAAAAAACTACTAAACCAATTAGCAACACTCCATGCACACAGTTTTTCTTTCCTTGTAAGCAGATGGAATTGTTCTGCATGACTTCAGTTAGAAGTGTACTACTGAGGGAAAAAAAAAAAAAAGAAAAAAAATAAACCAAGTTAAGTGAGGTTAGGCTGTTAACTGCTAGAGTTGCTGGGACATCTTAGAAAAAAAAGTTTCAAAATAATAGTTTATTTTTTGGACAATGTACATAGTATGCAAATGTGGAATATATTTCTTTTAACTTCTTTTGTGAGGGGAGGAGGGAGAAAACACACTTTTTTCAGCAGTTTTAGGAGTTTAATAGCATTGATAAATTCAGCCTTAACTAATCAGTGAAGAAGGGTAACTCCAATGGCTTCAAAAAACCTCCATTAGCCATCTAGAAAGGCATCTTATTTTGCATAAACCTCAGATACTGGCATTACATATTTTTAATTTACTCCACATGGAATTCTTTAATCCCCTGCACTAATTAGAAAAAATCTATAGTGATCATAGCCAATAATTTAGGATTGTATTTCATACCAGAACATCCTTTAAAGCTACAATTGTGTGAAAACCCACCAGATAAGCCAATTCTCAATCATAGAGAAGCAGCATTTGAAGAAGAGTAGAAGAGGGAAAAAAAAAAAAAAAAAACAGCTAAAATTTACATTCATGATGCAAAGATATTTAAGGCTCTCTCAGATGACCAATGGCCCCAGCCTGTGCTGATAAATCCATCCTAATGATACCTAGGAGCCCTAGAAGAGCGCCCACAGGCTCCTGCCATGCACTTGAAATTTTCCATATAATCCCAACGTAGAAGTCTCGGCTTTAGTGGGCTAAAGCTGTGTTTGTGCAGTGATCAAGAGGACAAGAAAATATTGACACAACTGCAAGAGGGACACTGTCGCTGTGCTTTTATCAATCATTCTGCAATCCCTGCTCTTTCCTGACCTGTCAAATCTTCCCTGCAACCTTTGAACGCTCCAAGCAGCCTGTTCCAAACAGAAGCACCAAACCAAAACAGGCATCTCAGGACCTTCCTAAAACAACAAAAACATTAAATGAACCCAACACTTATGTACTTGATTTGTGTGCTTTTGCATTTTGCTAAGAACCAAGAAACTGCAATTAGCCTGGCACATAAGGGTAATCAGGAAGGGCTCCAGATTCTCCTCTCATTAATCTCACTAATTAATTACAAACGCAGCACAAGAGCCACATGACTTTTTGTTGACCCTCTGTGACAGTCTGGTGTAAACCCACATAGCACTGGGAAAGCAGACAGAGCTACACACCAAAAAGATTCAGGTGCCGGCCTTGGTATTTTTTTGCAAACAACTTTCCACACTTCAAAAGTTGTAATCGCTGTCATGAAGGAAAAAAAACAACAACAACAAAAACACAGTCAGACTCTCTAATCTACAAGGAAATTAGTTTTCAGTGTTTAGTTTTAACTTCTGGCACCACCTCTTTCTGCTAGTTTCACAATTCAAGAAAAATGTAAGTTAAAAAAAATGTGATAAACAAACTACAGGAAAATGTTCCCGATTAGTTACCTGTAGCACTGTCATTAGCATTTGCTGTGTAGGCCATGTTTGCTCAGTGATACATCCAGAACTATGTTGTTAGGTGTCATGCAAATGTCATGCATCGAGTCCAACCTGACACGCAACCTGCAACAAACAAGAAAAAAAAGGCAGTTAAAATGCAGTTGTAATAAGGCAAGTTCATAAAGCATTAGGCATTTTTCAGTGTCCAAGGTCTCATCTTTACTGCAAAGTCACTCCAGCAATAACTCAGAGAGATTCCTCCTAATTAGAGCCCCATCTACCCACAAAATCCCTCTGCTGCAGCGGTGCATGAAGTCGTGGACTCTGTGCAATGCCTGGACTTAAAATTGGCCTTTTTTTGGAGAGGGTGGTTGTCATTACGCTTTTGCATTGCATTCCTCTCGTTACAGAAAAAGGCTGCTTCCATCCGAGGCAGCACTGCAAGACTGGCCGCAGTTCTGCAGACCAACCTTGCCAAAGGGACTCTGGCTGCTCCTTTTGGCTGTCAGAGCAAGCCTGACTGCAGCCCTCATCCTCAGGACAACAAAATTTAACTCAGACGGTACTGCCAAGAAGCCTCCTGCTGGCCATGGCTCCAGTTTTCTACAACCCAAACAGCATTTCATTTTGTTGACTCAGGCAGGTGGAGCTTAGCGGTGCAGAGAACACCCCACGTCTCCCACCCCGGCCTGACTTACTCTGACAGCTCCCCAAACCACTTGTATTCTTCCAATTATGTGTGATTTGGCTAGGTACACAGATGTATTTGTATGTTAAGCAGATGAGCAAATAAAAACCAAATCCAGCAATGAGGGCAAACACAACGTGAATCTCAAGTCGAAGATATATCAGCTGAGAAATTAACTGTCTCTTATAACTAATTGAAGCTCCATCTCAAAGGTTTCATCTTCCCTATCCAGAAACAAAAGCACAAATCTTCATTTTTGGCATGATCTTGACACTAATTTTCCAAGAATGCAGAAAAATCTCCATTGCAACCTCTCCTCCCCAAGCTCCCCCACATATTCTTAAATTTATGGTCTCTTGTTCAAAGAATGGGGGGACACAAAGCTGTTAAAAATAAAACAAAGGAAAGAGTTACAAGAAAGGGTTACAAACAACAAAATAAAGTGGGCACCCAGCACAGGCTGTGATGCAAAGTCCAGGCATAACAGTAATATCAGATTTCTGAAACAATGAAGCATAGTGAGAAAGAACGGAAATGCACCTAGCCAGCTGAGTTTGCAGCCAGAACCAAAGTTTAAAACCTGTGAGCTTTAAGCAAAGTATTCACTACCCCTTTGCAAGAGGAGAAATTTTAAGGAATCACTCCTATCTCCTCCTTTGCCTTCAGGATATAAGCGACGCTTTAAGTTCAAGGAAGGCAACTTTTACCTTGCACAACGAATACTTGCACTGAAGCATCATCACCACCATCATCATCATCGCAAGCCATGCAATATCTTAGGGCGGCACTCTGCAGGTCTTTAAGATCTACCCGAGTGCACCCAAAGGTGCCAACTTCCCAAGCCTACTCAACTCACCCAACAGGGATGCACAACCTCTTCTGCTGATACAACCAAAGCCATAAGATTGCACAGTAAGGGATTAGCGAAGGGGTAGGAGAAGGGAAGAGGGTCCTGTGGCTGAACTGGCTCTTTGATAGTAATGCAATCTCAAATAAGAGAAAAGTCTGCCACAAAACTGAAGCCCTAATTAAACCCATGCTGTGGTATGTCTGGGAGCTCATGTGATGGTTTTAAAATTAGAATTTGTTAAGCTCTGCCATGTAGGTTTGCAGAAATACTTGCTACATGCTTTGTAAACAGACTTATGGATGGCTTTGGTTAGTACTGAAGTAGACTGGAGGGCCTGCACCTTCATAGCTAGAAGCTAAAAAGATTTAGTGCAAACTTTTTTAACCACTGCAGAGAATACTTCAAGCAGCATCAGCTCAAGTGCATCTCCACTCAAGTCATTCCTTAAACCAGACCTCAGGTCTTCCCTTCATGGGGAAAAAAGGCTGAGCAGTCTTCTTCCTTCTCATTAGTGCTTTTGGTTCAGACATGTTGTTTTAAATAGCTTCTCACCACTCCTTAGAAAATACATCTCTTGGTACTATATACAGGGCTTTTTAAAGGTACAGCTCCAGAGTTGGCTAGTTGCTTCAAATCACTAGTCAGCATCATGAGCATGCATAGGGATAGCTTCCTAATAGCAAGAGGCAAATACAGTTGAAGGAAGACTTGTCATAGAACTAACAAGACACTGCTGTAAACCAAGAGAGGCCTGCATTTTGTTGGTGCTTAAAGAAATATAATTGAAGTGGAAACTGCCTTTTGGGTACACTTCTGTTAGTTTCAAAGTCGGGCAGGTGTAAGTATTCTGCCAAGAAGCAAACTCACTTTTAGTTAAAAAACAATGCATCTTTTAAACTTAAATCAGGATTAAGAAAAAAAAATCCCAAAACAATTTTTAGTCCAACACATAAGACGGAAGAAACAAAAACCCAAAAGGTCTAACTATTTGCTATATAAGGTTACTGAAATAACTGGGTTTTGTTTGTTTGTTTGTTTGTTTACATAATGTACAACTTTTGTTGATAGCTTCCTACTAAACAGCTGTCCTGGCTTGAAAAAAATATCTAATCTAGAAGAATTTCTGAAGCCATACTGACATGTATTAACCATTTCTAGAACAGTACTGAATGTGATTTCACCAGCCACACATACTAAACAGACTTGCACTTTCAGACTACACTCTCTTGTGGACAAAGTACTAGATGACCCCAGATATCAACTAAAATACACAGAGGAGTGTACATCCTCCAGCACAGACATCCTACAAAAGAAAATTTGCAGAGGATCCAATGTATTCAACTCCATCTCCACTTTCTACCTGTATGTTTTTACATGCTTACCCCATCCCCGCCTGTGAATAGTGGTTTACAGACCCAAGAGCAAATGCAAAACAAGCAGAGACTAGCTATGAAAGGTGTTATTGCTCAATGAAGCAGTTGTTTAAAGTGTTTTGGATCAGATACGCAAACCCAGCTGTGCCCTGAGGTTCAATAGCAGGAACTTTAAAACTTTAAACACAAATCAGGCTCTTCAATTTCTGCAAACTATCACGGCACACCAGCTTTTACAGTTTTTTTTTCCCCATGATGGGAATTCCTTAGGTGGAACATAAAGCACAACCGTGTCCTAAACACAAGGAACAAGAGTCCTGCTTCACTTTTGTGCTGCGTCTTGTGCCACCTACACCTATGCTGGCATTTCTGAATCAGAAATATTCAAGAAAAACATCCATTCAGCCATCCACACAGCAGAGCTGCAGACTCAGAGGCACAGACCTTGCAGAGAACCCAAGCTCTCATGGGATCCTGCAAGTATTTGGACTTCCCTTTTTTTTCTGAAGTTTGCAAGAGATGTTCAAGACTAGAAAATGTGGAGTTTTTATCTAAAAGCAGTTGTAGAAAGACAGAACAGCAATAATTAAAAGTAAATAAAGAAACGAGAAGATAAACAGAACTCTGTTCTTAACCTGGAAAAGCCACCACAAACACCTCTCCATCCAGAGGCAGCAGTTGCTAGTGGGACGTCGTGATGCACCAGCACTCATATGTGAGGTCTGAAGACAACAGGCTTTGGCTTCCCAGGCATCAGAGCTTTCAGAGGGGCAGGTATGCATGTTGCCTTTCATTTTTGTATGGCATGCATGGACCAAACAATCACATAAACCACTGAAAACAATATCCAGATCTGCAGATAATCTTGCACCACAAAGGGATGAGTACGTTGATGCTACTTAACACCTGCAGTAACAGTAGGATAGTTGTGCAGTGCAACTTTGCTGGATTCGAAATATTGGCCTGGTATGTTCTGGCAGCTTCCTTCATAGACTCCAGGGAAGGGGCCCATGACTGAAACCCACTCTATAACATGTCCAGAAGGTGTGAAGTGGTGATTAACCTGGTATCAAGGAACAGGCTAACCAACCCATCAGAACACACACTTGAGAAGACTGATATTGCTCAATTTTATTTTAATAGGTTGGTATAAAAAAGAAGACCCTTCTACCTGACACTTCTTGCTCAAATGTCATCCTAGCAGTGGGATGTCTCCAGTTTCATCCTGATATAGATGACATTTGACAGTAGGAGCCAAAATCAGCACAAGATCTATCCAGACGCATGGATGGCACTCTCTAGTGACAGGAAGAAACTGACACTGGAAATTCTTCCTTCCTTCCTTCTGCTCAGCCACAGGTGCCTGCACTTTGCAAATCTGTGTGACAGTAAATGCCTGCAACCTAATTCACGTTATAAAGCAAATAGGGCAGGTGCAACTGGAATGAAGCAACTGTTGAATCCAACAGAACATTTTAAATTTCACCTGGTTATTTAATCATTTAACGGTTAACCCATTCACATACATCCTGGACCTAGTATCTTTTCAATGTTGATGTCCACATTGCGAAGCTATACAAATTCAGCATCCTGTGTTAAGTCCCACTAAGCGAGCAAAACAAATCACAAATAGAGGTTTTTTGCCTAGGCCTTTGTGGCCTAGCCCATCCGAAACTGCAGCAGTCCAAACAGTGGGGTTAACATCTTTTGCAGCCCCTTTCATAGGATCTGTTGTGATACAGTCTCCTCCATGACCACACATGATGCCTTGGTCAGAGATGATATGTACTATATACAGCATTATAGCCATATGATTTTGGACAATATTTAAGCATGCAATCCAAAATAAGCCACCTCTCTCTATCTTCTCTTCCAGCACTCCCAGAGAAGCACATTGCTATAGGATTGGCAGTAGGTTGGGAGCAGAAAGCAGCCATATAAATCCTTTGAGCAGACACTTTAATTAACTACATATGGCTGTGGTCACCATAAATTCACCTTCCTCATCTGCCTTCCTCATTCTGTCCATAGACCTGTTACAGGTCTTGCTTCCATCAGAGCTCTGGGCAGGAGCTGAGCTGGGCTCTCTGGGCCTTGAGTCAGCAAGCTGAAGGAGCTTGATGCCCTCAAGGAGCACATCACAAAGGCACTTCCTTCTCTTCTGCCACAAAAACAACAAAATCAGACCCATTTCTGATGCTTTGGGTCCTCA